CGCCGTCGCCGCTGCCGCCCCGACGCCTCGACGCCTCGACGCCTCGACGCCTTGACGCCTCGACGCCACGGGCGAACTCTCGCGGGGCCGCATCCGCAATCGCAAAAGACCTTCTCACTCTAGTGCTCGTCTCTCTACACTATCTTCATATCGGCGCTCTATATCAGCATCTATCCTTCTTCTCCTCGATGCCTCGCTCTCGCTAAAACCGCCGGCCACCGCCGCCAATACCCTCCCCCACCTCTAACCCCTTCACCATACTTTTTTTTCAACCGTTCCTTATTCGATTCGGCCTGTCTCTCTATCTCCACTATATTCAGCTCTGAAGAAAGCTGAATTACATTAACGATTATCTTGATGTGTGCCCTGACGTAATTCAATTCACATTTTCTTTGTAGGTTCGAAAGGCCGAACTTTATATATACTTTCAAGTTTTTTATATACTTTATGTATATGAATACCTGGGCCCTTTAACAGTGGCCGTATGGTGCTTATTATTTTGAGCATAAAATATTTTATATCTGATTTTCTGCGAGTGATGAATTATACAGAATTTTATAAAATCTTCGACTCTCAATGAAAAAACTAAAGCTCGTAATGCCAAATATTCAAATAATAAAAATGAAATGAAATTTTCTTGGCTTTGCGAAATTTCTCTTGCAATTTATTATACGTGCTTTTCGTATTTGTTCGTGCCTACGATAAAGTAAGTCGAAAAATCCTTTGGAGTTGCAGGGCTTGTAATTTAAACAATTTTTTTAAAAATCATAATTTTCACAATTCAAACATTTTTGAAAACTGTATACGAAATTAAATGCACTTGTGTGAAATTCTGAAGAAACTCGGAAGTGCGTAGGATGGAAAAGTAACCGTAGACGTTAGGCAAAAATTGTAACCTTATTAACAACTTAAACATATTCGTTTAAAATTAAATACGAACAAACACGAGGAAAGTAGATAAATCATCAAAATAAATATGTAATCTATTGAAAAGAAAAAATTTATTTTATTCTTTTACATAAAATAGAATAATAAACGATATTAAATGAATATCATCGATCTTTTTTCATTCATTATCTATAAAACTTTGTTTATATAAATTATAATATTTTAATTAACAGTCCCAATTGAGCTATCTATTAATAGAATAAATAGATTAATTCTGAAAATAACATAAGATTTTTAATCAATGCTGGTATAATAAGTCATAAAAGACGTAAGAGCTGTGCTGTCCATTTACGGGCATGTAACTGCTGCAACACGATGCCCAATAAAGGAAAAAATTTTAATGACAGAAGATAAATAAAAAGCCTTGCACGAATGTTGTCGTTGCTCTTTAGTTAATGGACCAGCACCATATTAAAATTGTAACTTAAAAGGAATTTTATAAGCTCATAAATCCAATCAAATTTAAGAATTGAATATATATTCTACAATGTCCTCTCGCAATATTCAACGATTTACCAGACAACGATTATTTCCATTTACGACGCATAAACCATAATTTACTCAAAGTAAATAAACAATTTAAATAATATTGTTATTACAGATGGTGCAATAATGATGGGCGTAAAACGGTCTTTTAAACACACAAGCTGACCCATTAAAAGTACATAGCACAATTAAAAGCTGATTAATCAGTCGTTGAACTTCACATTTTACCACATTTTCAATGTTAAAAGTCGTCGTCGTCGTCGTCCCCCCCTCCCCCTTCCCCCATCCCCCCTCCCTCAATCCCTCCCTACCTCCCCCCTCCCCTCTCACAACTCGATCCCACCTTTTTACCGGTTTCACCTCTGCCCTCTCCTTTCCGACCCCCGACTACCCAATAACTAACTCGTCAGTCCACTTAAAGTTCCCCCGTTTGCTGATCTACATTCACAAGTCACGGCGCTCCTGCCTTATCCCGCAGCACGCGCGAATAGTAGAGACTGTTAAATATTATTTCAGTGCTAATTGCCTTATTAATACGCATGAAAATTTAAGGCAACCGACATTATAGCGCTCCCTGCTCACTCGCTATATACGAGTTTCTAGAGGATCAATTATTAATGCGTAAATAACCAGGAGCGGCGTCTGGTAAAAATACTTTAAAGCGAAAACTTGGCATCGTCGTTGCAGCTACTGGAGCTCGGAAAATTAAGGATTATCAATTGTGCGATTGATTTCATTCAATGATATTTTTATTCCTAATAGTTGATAATTCAAAATTGTAACGTTGCTGATTATGGATTATGCGTTAAGCCGACCGAAAGTACCTTGTCATATTCTAGGATGCGACTGACTTTATTAGCAAACTTTGGAAAATTTAAAAGCTACGTAGTTACGTTTAGTTACGCTTACTAAGACTATTATAATTATTAAAAATTCATATTATATTCATTTTTTTTTTTTTTCGTTTTTTTTTTGTTTTTTTTTTTAATTTTATTTTGCGTAATGTAATTCAGCTTGAAAATATCTTAGAAATTAATAGATTATCTCATTTTTTAAGTACTTTAAGTAAATATAAATGTAAAAGAAAAAAAAATTCCAAATTGCTAAAATTTATTGCGAAAATTCTATTACCAAGTCTTTATTATTGTTTTATCAAATACACTGATATAATAGAGTATAAATTAACTACTATTCAATAAGTTTTTAAATTACAAATCCTTCACGTATTTACGTAAATCATATATATCTTTTTCATTAATAGTATTATTATAATGATAAAACTCTTTATAACTTAATGTTCAGCGATGCTGAATTAAATACTCTCCAGTGTATTGAGATTTATTTCAAATAAGCTTCTAAAGATCAGTTCAATTTGAAATTATTTATGGTTAAAAATCTTAGCGTAAACAAAAGGAATCGATTGATTTCATTCCAATGTGGCCATTGAATTTGTTCGATGCTAAAATAATGAAAGTTTCTCAAATTCCGTAACATTTCAAATAATTTATGCCTTTTCGATATTGATTGATATTGATAGAACATTGTTTCAAAGCAGAGGCTAAGACCACTACGGTCCAATTCATTTGTTGGTCATGAATTTCAGCCATCGTGAATTGTCTCTTTTTCCGTTATCATGACTCGGGTTGCAGATATTTGCAAATCTTTTTTGTAGATCCCGATTCCAATTGTGTCTACCTCACTTATCTTTCTTATGTAAACATTTGCATTTCACTCACTCTCCCTGTCTGTCACTCCCTTTGTCTCTCTCTCTCTCTCTCTCTCTCTCTCTCTCTTTCTATATACCTATCCACCTTTTTGTATGTATCTTTCTACTGTCATTATGTCTATATTTTTTGACGTTTTATTGAAATATATGCTTGAATCGTTTCGCTTTTACATGTACTCATATTACGCGGTATTTCATATGATATATACTCTCTCTCTCTCTCTCTCTCTCTCTCTCTGTCTCTCTCTCTCTGCTCTTACAATATTTACTGAGAAGAAACTTATATAATGTAATCGGTAATATTACAGTGTAATTATAATACTTAGTAAAATGAATAACATTATCTTAAAGTTGGAGCATTGGTTTTGTTAAATTAAACTAAATATTTAATAAAATTTGAGTGTACATAAAAATATTCATTTTTTTAACTGTGAAATTATCGCTAATAAAAAAATTAAGTAATAGCAGTGTTTTCTAATGAGTAAAATCAAATTATTTGGCACATTGGAATAAAAAAAAATTTATTTTAAGTAAAGAATATTTCTTATATTTACGAATGAAGATTACATATAGATTATTTGTAAATACAAATTATTATTTATGGATAATATGTAATATAGCGCACGACTAAATTGAAATAGAATATTCTCTCTGCATTATCTCAGAAATTAACTTTTCTTGCATAAAGAAAACAATAAAGTATGCATAATAATAATAATAATATTATAATAATGTTGTTATTATTATTATTATTATTATTATTATTATTATTATTATTATTATTATTATTTGAAATATTAATATCACGATTTAAGGAATATATCGATATAAAAATCCCTTTATTGTATGTTGTTACGAAAATGGAATTTTTGTGCATATAAATTTTACATATAAAGACATTTTCGACCTCATCATTTCTACTGGATCCCTTAAAATATCAAAACATTTGTTTAGAAACTTCAACGATGACATTTAACGACCGAAAATTTGTACTTTATTATAGAATTTAAAATTCCAATACAGCCAAATAAATTATAAATTATAAAAATTTCTGATAATATACATAATATTAATATTATCATAATGATTATAAAGTACTTTCGAATAGATATAAACATAAAAGTACAATTCTTATCGAATATATTAAAATACTTTAAATATTCACAATCATTGTAATATTGTATAATAAGTCATTATTGATGCAATGTTTTAAACAATCAATAAATATGAAATTACATTGCTATAATTCATATTAAAATTGAAAATATTAATTCGTTAAAGAATGTTGTACTTTAAAACTATATTATTATCTGACAAAACAACAAAAGAAATCAAATTTCTTTGTAACGTATCCCACAAATAGATTAATCAACGATATATTATTTAACGTATTTTATTAATTAAACGTCTTTCCAATTTTATTTAAATATTTATATTATAGCAATACTTTGGAAATAATATAAAAGTTATTTAAAATGAAAAAAATTTTAACACGCGATTAACAAATAATAAACATAAGTCATGAAAACTTTGATTACATAAAATTATATATAATATAATATGCTCAACACTCAAAATATCCATTTCCTTATATATATGTGATATATGGGATAGTGATATATATGATATGTGTAGATATATGTGCGCGCGCACATGTTTTTTTTTTCTCCGTATATATTAAAATGAAGAAGAAAATTAATAGAAAAAAATAAACCAAATATGAATACGTCTTAAAAAAAAAAATGAAAACCTATGTCAATGAAAAAATAAGGTTAGCGGAACGCGGTGAATTACGTATAGGCGAAATATTAATATTTCCAAACATCAACTTTGATTATAGGCGGAAATGTGAGGCCGACGGGAAGGACGCGAAAGCTGAGCTGACGGCGCAACGCAATATGTTCCCTAGCGCTCAAATTAAAATGAGGTAGGTGCAACACACCGATAAATGTTTAGAAAAGCCTATAGAAATCACTCGTCCCCCGTTCCCACTCACTCTACCTCTCGCACCGTTCCTTTATTTTTTTTTTAGTCGCTCATTCTCTCTCACTCTCTCTCTCTCTCACTCTCTCACTCTCTCTCTCTCTCTCTCTCTCTCTCTCTCTCTCTCTCTCTCTCTCTCTCTCTCTCTCTCTCTCTCTCTCTCTCTCAATCTATCTCTCACTCCATCTCTCACTCCATCGCAACCTCGCGCCATCCCACTGCTCCATCGACACTTTCTTATCAGCTATTATCTCTATGACACAGTGCTATATCATTAATTAATTTTCAAATTGTGGAGAGAATTATTAACATTTTAATTAAATTGACATAATAAATAAAATGCTCGTTATAGACGATCTTTACAAGTTCAAATTTTCTTTGATTATTAATGAATATTTGCTTTTGTATACAAAATTTGATTTCAATCATGTGCATTTTCTAAATAAATCATTATCTCAATATATAAAAGATACATAATTGAGATGAAACGATGTAAAACAGTGTATATGTATTGTGACAAGTAATTAAGTCGTTGCTTTATTATTTTATAAAGCCATTATATTTCCAATTCCCATGTAAGAATGATGTCTCGGTTGAGAAAATGAAAATTTATCGACAGCTAAATGTGGTATCTTTGTCTATAGTGTCAATAGTATCAACCTCCTGCAACTAAACTAATTATTAAATTTATCTATTATTTACAATTAATAATAAAACTTAAATACAACTCGATTAATTCAATGGTTTTTCAAACATAATTTTTGAGATTATCATTGTAATATAAATATTGTTGTGTGCATGCAGGTGCGCGACATTAGAAATTCAATTGAAATTCCAAATACCAATATCCTGTAATTCTTTGAAAGTATAGAATTTTACATTTACATTTACAGTATATAATAATTAAATCACGAGATATATTATTATCGTTCGAATAAATATGAAAATAAAGGTATTGCCTAAATCGATAAAAAAAATTTCTTAATAAGAGGATTAGGAGATGCTGGATCAAGTGATAAAGTATAAAATATCCTGCACAGACGAAGAAAACATGAAAATACTTGTAAAAGCCCGCAGAATCGAAAGATAAATTTAAACGGACATTACCTCCCCCCAGTTCGAATAACAATCACTTACTAAGCCACATCCCTTCGTGGCTCCGGTCCAACTTGTCGAAAATAAGGACGAGAGCCGACGAAGGAATGGAGCTCGAAACTCATTGCATTTGGCGAGAGCGGAATCGACCTAACGGCGCCTAATGTCCAAAGTATTTCTGTTAGATTGATGTCGCCAAGCAGCTCGCCGGCAACGTCACCCACGATGTCGAACTCGTCGTCGCCGACGCCCCCGACGCCCGCGACCTCGACCTACAACCAGAAGATAACGGGGATCCCGTGCGTCGCCGCGGCCTCGCGCTACACCGCACCGGTGCACATAGACGTCGGCGGCACCATCTACACCTCGTCCCTCGAGACCCTTACCAAGTGAGTACCACAACTTTTTCATCATCTTCTCCATTATCATCTTCTTCTTCACTTTCTTCTTCACTTTCTTCTTCTACTTTTTCTTCTTCACTTTCTTCTCCTTTATCTTCTTCTTTTTCACTTTCTTCTCTGTTTTCTTCTCCTTCTCCTCCTTCTTCTTCTTCTTCACTTTCTTCTCCTTTTTCTTCTTCACTTTCTTCTTCTACTTTTTCTTCTTCACTTTCTTCTTCTTCTTCTCTTTTTTCTTCTCCTTCTCCTCCTTCTTCTTCTTCTTCACTTTCTTCTTCTACTTTTTCTTCTTCACTTTCTTCTTCTTCTTCTTCTTCTTCTTCTTCTTCTTCTTCTTCGTATTCTTCTTATTTTACTTCGCGTAGAATCAAACTATAGGATGCACTTGATTTACACAGGATTCTGAAACTGCTTTCGTTCGCCTCGCTTTGACCCCCGCTCGTAAATACGTCCGCGCCGTCGATTACAATAAGCACTCCAACGATTAACCGTAATAAATGCAATTAAGCCCCTCGGCTTTTTATTACCTTCGCCAGTGAGAAGGCTGTCGAACTTTTGGTCGCCAATGAAAATGAATTACGGCTTTGCTTTATAAATAACGGTTATTTGTCTTGATAATTCACTAAGCGCGCGTTCACCCACCTCGCGTTCGCTCCTTTAATGCTAACGTCAGTTTTTCTCTTTTTCTTTTCTTTTTTTCTTTCTTTCTTTCCTTCTTTCTTTCTTTCTTTTTTTTTTTTTTTTTTTTTTTTTTGGTTGTTGTTGTTGTTGTTGAATATGTGTTTTTTAAGCGTCATCGAGGACTAATCTCGCCACGGCGATTTTAGCCAAATTTGTTGCTATATCTTTAAAATCAATTTATACATTATAATGCACGAGTGACGTTTAATTTATCGTGTCAAAAAGAAATTGGTGGTAAATAATTATTATCGCCCGCCTGTCAGTGCGTAAGAAAAAGATTGCTACCTCTGCCCGTGTTACGATTTACTAGTAAAATATGTTTTCAACTAACCTTCTTTTGCACCTTTTAACAAAAACTATCGTCAAATATTTAACGGATGACGATAATTGGATTAAACAACTTGACAAAAAAAAAAAAAAAAAGAAAAATGAAAAACCAAGCATAATCGGATAGATAATATCAATTAACATTCTATAGTGTGGCCATAAAACAAGTGAAAATAAAACAATCAAATGGCTTGCATTAGTTCGCCTTTACCGTTACAAATTCACAATGATTATTCCGCAACGCTAAAAATCGCCCGTCCAATCGTAAAGACGAAACAAAACTATTCGACTAAAGTAAAAACCGCCCACGACACGAAGTTAACCATCCACTTAACTGAATCGCCTATAAAACTTAACGACTCGCAAAGAATCGCGCGCGTGTCCCGTGCGCGTTTTCCCTTCTCAAGGACTACGTTCTCCTTGTCTATCGGACAGCTACAGCACGCGGAACTAACTTTATTGAGAATTAATCGCCAAAATAGTCCATGCAATTACCGTATTGAAAGAAATGCACGCTGTCGGGATTCGTTAAGTAGAACGGACTATACTATTTTCCGAATATCCAAATGTTTACGGATGCTGCACTAATAGTAGCGCGCATGGATAACTGTTTATATAAAAAGTCTGAATAATAAAGAAACAAATGAGACTGTGCGGAGGCATTCGATGAAACGAATGGACTCGGTGAAAATTATATATATTTCATCTTATAAAACTATCTCGTACAATGAATCCTCTTACTTTAATTATGCCATTGTTTTTGTTTTTGTTTTTGTTTTTTAGTTTTTTGTTTTTTAGTTTTTTGTTTTGTGGTTTTTGTGGTTTTTGTTTTTTTTTTTGTTTTTTTTTGTTTTTTTCTGTTTTTTTTTTTGTTTTTTTTTTTTTTTTTTTGTTTTTTTTTTGTTTTTTTTTTGTTTTTTTTTTGTTTTTTTTTTGTTTTTTTGTTTTTATAAGAACGTAATAAATTAGAATATTAATGAAATATGAAATCAATCAATCAACAACGGTACAAAGCAAATTTTGTATTTGTTTTATTCATTAATGTCTGTTGTACGTGTCAGCTTTTGTATAGACGAGACATAGAATTTTAATTTTTCAATATTTTATTCTCATCGTGGCATTACGTTAACATAATGTAGCGCCAATGAAAATAAAATACATATACAATTACTCAGCTACAACTTTCAAAGAGATAAAAATATAAAATGCCACGGAATTACAATTAAACAAGAGCGGGAATTATTTCACAATAACCATTATTACGTAATTCTGATAAAAAGGATTAAATATATTTTACGTGTTCATGTTCGAGCATAGACATGCAAACTTATTTACATACTTAAGCCCGTATTCATAAACATATAAAAAAGTATACATCTATCTATCATTTCGAATAAATATAAAATTACATTTGCATCTTTTGCATTGCATCTTTTTATATTTCCATATCAATTGCTCTTTTTTGCTTTATTTTAATATCATTATTAATAAAATATAATTTTAATATTTCAACTAATTTTCATGAATATTTCTTTGAAATTGTACAATCGAATTCGAGCACAATTTATTTGTGAAATAATACTTTCTAATTGCCAATATAACGAATACCACACGATCGACAAAAGTATATTTCGTTGGATGATTTAAATAAAAAGGCCAAATAAAATAATTTAAAAACCTTTAACGATAAATTTTCTATCCAACCACTAATTCATTCCTTTTACTTTTCATCTTAGCAACGGATGCATTTTCAACCAATTGCATTATCAATTTAGTATCACTCTCTCTCTCTCTCTCTCTCTCTCTCTCTCTTCAATTCTAATCTTACCATTATAGCATTAAACAAGATACTTATAAATACAAGATAATAATAAATTACTTCACTGTATAAACAATTAGACTGGGATCTAAATTCTAGTGAATTTACGAACTTTTATTTAAATTTTAATTTCTATGAATTAAACTTGTAGTGAATAATAACTAATAGCTCCACGACAAAAAAAAATTTATTTTCCATGAAATTTTTTAAAGAAACACATTATACGCGTTTACATTCACTTTTATATCCATCCCTGCGGATATATATATATATATATATATATATATACAATTATTGCGTATGAGTTAGTGAGTATCACAATAATGTCAGTGGTGCATAAACGTGACCCGTTCCTCCTCTTATTTCAATGCATCAAGACATGTACAAAAATTATTTCACTCCATTATAATTTCCGTTAAAAGGAATGAATTTCCATTTGTTCATGATAAATCACGATTGTCTCAATTTCGTTAAACCAATAATTTTTGAAAATTTATAATTAACACTAGATAAAATTGTCGCGTATACTTGTAAAATAAATATAAAAAAAAAGATATATATATATATATATATATAAAAATTCAGATATTTACTTAGCTCTTTTCAAATTTGTCAATCCTCTCTTTTAAATGACTCAGCATATTTGGACTAAAAATAAATAACCTAATTTATAAAGAAATGTTACAAACTTGAAAAATGCAGCGAATCGACTGAATCCATTGAGTTGTGAATTAGTAATTATCGACTATAATAACTCAAGCGCTATGCATATTTATTACCTTTAATAATACATTAATGCTAATAATCATTTAATGAAATTAATTTAGCCTTGTAAAATGTACTTACTATACCGTATCAAATTACGAGTCTCGTCGTTGCAAGATTCTCGTGATAAAAACTATGTTATATCTGTGTAAAAACATGTTGCTTTTGTATATACATCAAAGCGTTATATTTTTGAAGCAAGTTTCGATATTATAATAATAAATACTCTAATGAAACAATAACATAGATATAAAGAATGAAATGGTCTGTATTGATTATGCAAAGCGAGGCGTTGACAAGAACCAGCAACCACTTCCAGTAAAATCTTTAAGCTTGAGAAAACGTGTCAGGCTCGTTATCCCATCTCAACGACTTCCTCCTGTCTTCCGCCACGTAGTCTCGATCAGGCAACATAGCAAAAATTAAGCACGCAATATATTTATGCACAGCACATTTTCTCGCGGTGCGCGCGCGCGCGCCGATTCATTCCCATGCGGGAAAGAGGGAGAAGAGAAAGTGAGAAGGAAGAATCCGTGTAGAGAGTCGTTAAAGTAGTGAAAAAGCGGCACCGCGCACTTCCCGAGATATTTAACGACGGATGCCTCGCTAACGAACGGAGTTTCTCGCAGATAAACATGGATGGGGATACATACCTTGAGATTTATCTTTTACTAGCGCAAATTCGAAGGACGCCGACACAACGTACGCCAACCCGACCGCTACGTGGTACGCCTTGTTCGCTTATGTTATTTTACGAAAAACGCAGCTTCCACCAGTATCGAAAAAAAAAAAAAAAAAAAAAAAAAAAAAAAAAAAAAAAAAAAAAAAAAAAAAAAAAAGGGGATGAGCGTTAGAAACTACGCAGTAATATTTTTCTTTGAATAGAAATCCGATATTATGAATAAATAGTATGAAGTAAATTACGGATTATGCGGAAGGCATTTCGTTCGTGGAAGGAATATTTATTTAGATATTTTTGAAATATTTAAGGACTAACGAAAGAGAGGCAAATCTGAAACGCTCTGTTCGCGATAATGTTTCGAAGCAATTCGCTTCACCTTGAATTGCAAGCAAATGATTGGGAAAACTCAATGATCCTAGCCTCATATAACTAATAATATCTCATTCTAACATTCAAATCACTACCTCTACACTTAATATTGTAGATTAGCATAGATTATACATTAGAATATATAAATAACGTATAAATGTTAACAATATATTATGAATTTTTTTGACTATTTCAATCAAATATTGCCAATTTCATTCATTATGAAAGCAATAATAACGAAGGAAATTAATATTATATAAAAATTCATGAAATTGGAAATACAAGTTTCTAAACGCTCGTGTAATTTTAATGGCAACTATTACAAATTTCAGCCTAATTTTCATTTGA